ATTATTAAATAATTATATAAAATTTAATTAAAAAGTAAATTCAAAATTAAATCTGTAAATATATAAGATAACTTATTATAATAAAAATATTTAATTATAATCTTTTCTTTATTATAATAAGATATTTATTATAGTAAATTTTCTTAATATAATAAAGTTTATATTTAAAGACTTATCTTTATTATATTAAGAATTTTAAAAATAATAAATTAATTATGATTATAAGAATATATATTTTATTTAAGATATATAGTTTAATTATAATAATATAATTATATTTAATTATAATAGATTTTAATTCTTATAAATAAAAAGCTTATTGAAAAAACTTATAAAGAAATATATTTAAGTAATAATAAGAGTCATAACTAATTATAACTTGTCACAATTTTCTAATTAGCTATTACAATTCTATTATAATTTTCTGATTGACTATTGCAAGTTATAATTAGTTGAGAAGTTATTTTTAATTTAAAGTAATCTATTATCTTAAGTAATAGTCTTAAAATTAATCTCTGTCTTTAATTTTTTTAAATTTTAGATAAAAAAATTATTAATAAAAAATTATAATTTAAAAATAGAAAATATTATTAATAAAAATTAAAATTTAAATTTGAAATATTAATTTTAATATTATATTTTCTAATTTATTATAATTATAATTATTTTTTTATCTATTAATATCTTAATAATAATTAATTTATTATTAATTATTTTATATTCTTATATATTTATGAATTGATTAAGAAATTATTAATTAATTAAATTTAAATTTATTAATAGAATTAAATTCAGATTTAAATTAAAATTAGAATTTATTAAGCTCTTTAACTAATAATAATTTATAAAAAAACTTATTTGACAAAATATTAGTTTTTATCTAATAGCTATAAATAATTTTTGAAATTATATTTTGTTAAGTTATAATAAAAAAATTAATCATATTTTTAATATTTATTAAATTCAATTATATATTATATAAAGATATAATATAATTTTTGCAGAAAATTTTCTTATATTATATCTTAAAATTCTAAATCATTTTTATATTATATAATTATAAGTAAGTTATTATATTTAAAGAGAAAAAATAAAATTACATATTTAATAGAGTATAATTTTTTTAAGATCATATATTAAGAAAATATTCAAAAAAAATTAATTAATTAGTATATTATATTAGAAAATTAAGTTTTTAAATATAGTAATTAAAAATAAATAATTACATCTAGACAGAATTTTTTAATATTAATATATAAATAAAGTATTCTTGTTAATATTATAAAAAGATTTGAAATTTTTGAACTTATAAATAAATAGTAAAGAGAATTTATTACTAATTATATTATATATAAATAAGATTATAACTTAATTTTTAATTTTATTTTTATTAAAAAGCAAACTACTTATTAAGACTTTATTTAGTTTAAAACTAACAAATTTCTTTAAGAATATACTTATCATTTTTTCTTAATACTTATAGTATTTATCAAAAGTATTTTTTTCACTTTAGATCAATAAGAAAATAAGATAAATAAAAAATCTTTTTTATATTTAAATGCTTTAATTTTATATAACAAGATTAGTATATAATATAATCATTTTCAGTCTTAATTAAAGCTTCTATATGCTTTCTTATACTTGAGACTAATCAGATTATATATTCTTTAGATAAATAATATCATACTTTTTATAATTTCTCTTTTAAACTCTTAATAATTCTAATTTTTTTGCCAGATTATTTTTTATAAGTTTTCAGATATTTTCAATTAAATTTTGATTAGAATATATTAATGACTATAAGAAAATCTTTATATTTATTTTCTTCTTTTATATCTTTATAATTTTTAAATAATACTTGGAATAATCATCTTCTTAAAGAATTTATTGATTATTTTCCTAATCAAAAAGTTTATTAGCAGATGATAAAAGATTTATTTTATATATATTTAGCAAAAAATTAATATTAAGATTCCTCACAAAGCAAATCAGCTTGCCAAAGTTGTGAATAAAAAATATTTTTATATATAAATCTTTAGAGAATACTTCACAAAATGGCTTATTTTTTTCTTTCCAGAAAATTATCAAGTCTGTTTTATGTTTTAATTTAGATAAAAAGTACTTTCATCTGAAAAAATTATCTTGTTTCAGTCAAAGTTTTTATTTTTTATCTATTTTAGCTATTTTTGTCAATATTTTTCTATAAAAAGAGATTTCAAAAACTTATATATTTACCTTTTTCTTTATAAAAATAATATTATATAGTATATATACTAATATTAATATTTTGCTTAATTATCTTTTTTTAAATTTCTGGAATTATTATATTAATTTTTTTGTAAACTTTACTATTTACTTATCTTATTATTAGATGATCACTTTTTATCAGTCTATTTTTGATTTATTACTCAAGTTTTGATTTTTTTTTCATCTTTAAATTTAATAACAGATTATTTTTTATTATAGTAAACTATATAATTAAATTTATTTAATATTTTTTTAAATAATAAATATAGAATAATATAAAAATAAAAAAATAAAAAAAATAAATTAAAATTATTTATTATTTAAAATAAAAATAATATTAAATAATTTATTTTATTTATTTATTAAATAAGTTAGTTCTAATTTAAATATAAATAAATTAAAAAGTATTAATTATTTTTAATATAATAATATTAATATTAATAATTATTTAAAATATTATAATAAGATATAATTTAATATAAATTAAGATTAATTTTCAAATATTATTAGAATTTCAAGCTTAATAAATACTATTAATACTAGATAATATTTATCTTTTTTTCTATTAATAACTTAATTATTTAAATAAAAGTTAAAATAATAATTAAGTTAAATTATTTGATAAATTTAATAATAAATTTTGGAATTTTTTAATTATATATTATATATTTATTACTTTAAATATACTAGTTTAAATAAAAAATAAATATTTTTTTTAATATAATTATTAATTTTATAATATTATTTAAATTATATATAGTGATTTTATTAATAAAATTATTAAATATAATTATATTAATAAAAAAATAACTCTCAAAAAAATATTATAATTTTATTAAAGTTAATTTTATATAAAGTTAATTGACTTAATATCAAAAAAAATAAGTAATATCATAATAATAAGAGATAATTTTATAAAATAATAAATTAATTAATTAGATTTATAATATAAAAAATTTAATAATTTTCATTAGTAAATTACTTTTAAATATATATATAGTTAGATTTCTTTATAATTATATCTTTTTATAGTTATCTTTTTATAATTATCTTTTTTAAATTTTCTAATTACTAATTAATTATAATTAAAAATATCTTTATAATTATATCTTTTTTATAAAGAATTTTAATATATAAATATTAATTTAATATTTATAATATTAATACTTATTTTAAAGAAAATTTTAAAAAAATATATATATAAAAATATTATTATTTTAGAAAATTAAGTGATTAATTATGAAAATTTTTAATTATTATATTTTAGTAAAATAATATTTATCACATTATTTCATGAAAATATAATAAAAAAATTTTGATAATAAATATTTTATCAAGGCAAATACTAGAAAATCTTAGTAATAAAATATGCTTTTTATGAAATCTCTATTATAATAATTTTTAGCTGAATCTGAGTATTGATGATTGAAGTTGGATCTGATACAAATCCTAAATAAATAATATTTCAAATATATGAAAATCTAATAAATAACATTCCAAATAAATGATATTCTGTAATAATTTTAGTATTTCATGTATTTTTTGAGATATATGTCTTAAGAATACTTGTTAAAAAATGCTGAAATTCTGAAATTCTGAAATTCAGGAATTAATAACAGGTTACACACTAATAGTTAATTAGTATTTTGACATTTGACATATTGCTAAAATTCAAAAAGATCTGCAGTAATAAAGATGTATTACATACTAATAATTACATGTACTGTAATCAGTATTTTGGCTTTGATATTATGTCATCTATCGAAATTCATGAATTTCCTTACATGTATTATACTTTAGGAATTTCATAAATTCGGAATATCGTTCTTTCAGGATTTCGTGATTCGGAATGTCATCCATTTGGAATTTCGACTGTTACCGATTGAAGTTATGTCAATTTATACATATGTAAAAAATAGTTAAATTAATTTACTAGTTGAAATTTCAACATTTAGAAGTTTGAACTTCAATGGCTAGCACTTTATTTAGCTGAAAAATTGGTATAAAGTAGATTTCATAAAGTAGAACATGTTTTATTATTAAGATTTCTCAAATTTCACTAATTAAAAAATCCGCGTAGATTACTCAATTTTCCTAAAATGACAATAATAATTTAATATATATTTTGTAAAAATTCTCTAGTTATCGTCTTTCAAATGAGTATAGAATTATGAGCATTGGATCAATGTTAGAAGTGCTAGAATTTTTTGCGCGAAACGTTACGTTATCCATTACTTTTGAGCGCTAAATTTTACATTTTGTATGTTTATCATGGGTACAAGTTTTGCGCGCGAACCTCTAAAGGACTTCAAACTTTTCTCGATGATTGATATACCATCCTGGTGTGGACATGTTATCTATAAAAACACATAGTATTCACTCAACAACGTATTTATCAAAAAAAATTTAAAGACAAACATATTGAATCATTACAATCAATTCTTATCAACGATGTTATGAGCTTTCATGCATATAAAAGTGTCTTTACAAATTTATTGATTATATAACATTTTCGTCAAGAAAGATAAATTTCAATTTTCGCAATTACGAAATACTCGCATGCTATACATTTATCAAAATTCGATTTAATCATTATTTATGCATCGAAATCATATCAATCATGCCAAAAATAATAAGAAACGATTTAAAACCCTTAAAGATATTCGTTAATAAATTCCTTGTCACTCTTATTACATAGATACCACTTAATATTATTATCAATCAAATCGATCAGAGAACAACAACAAAGAAACATGAGTCCACATCCACATCAACAACACGAATTTCCAAATCTCATAAATCAAATAAAAGAACAAGTTCCAATAGAAAATGTCGGTTTACCAAATATAGAAAAGCCCAGTCTACCACCTTTAGCTCTTCCTACGTTGCCAATAGACGAAAATATGGACTCGGCAAGTAAGATGAGAGAAAAAGAGCCCGTGAAACTATTACGTCCGTTACCCAATATCCAAACGTACGTGAACGTGGAATTTCGATACACAATTCAAGTGACAAAAGATTATTTCGAGTTTCAGAGTGGTCAGCAACCGTCTCAGTTACATTTTACCGCGTCTTTTTCTCCGCAAAGTTCCTCGAAGTGGGTTAGATTTGATTCTCCGACTAGGGAGTTTTCTGGGAGACCTTTGCCAGATTCGGCAAGGAATACGACCGTTAATTTGAATATTGAAGATCCAGGTAGAGGTACCGTGGAAACATCGATGCAAATTTTGGTATCGGATCTTCCTTCAAGAGTAAATAATCACAATGGACTCTCACGAAAACAGATTGTGCTTGTCGCAATAATTCCTTCATTGCTTGGACTTTCTGTTTTGGGAATTATCGGATTTCTTATTTTCAGAAAATGGAATAACAGGCGAGAACATGAGGCTGCGTTAAAACGAGCACTTCAAAATTCTAGAACAATCAATTGTAGCACATGTAATCAATCATCACCCGAAATTAGCAGAACTAATAACCATATTAACATTAATAACAATAGTGATCTCATTCTAATAGACCATAACAATAACAACAATAGACCACATAATGATGATAATGATAATAATGATCATAATCATAATTCGATTAATGTTCAAAGAGGGCATCATGTTATTCAAACGACAACAACGATGACAACGACAAATCTCCACAAAAGTTTGATTGAACGACGGAGAGAATACATCGACACATACAATAGTAATACTAACGCGGATCAAAGTGAAATCGATTCGATTAGAAGTGATGTGGCCACAAAAAGCACTTGCACTAGAAGAACGTCCAGTCCAAGTTCCTCTTATTCTGAAGGATCATACGATTCTTTTCATAAAAACCGGAAGCAACATGAATACACGGATCACAGTATCGGACGTTCAATATTGAGCCGATCTGCTCCACTTCATTTACCGAGTGATGTTATTACGACGATGGGTGGTAGTGGTCATCTACATGGTGATCAATCTCGGTCATCATCGTATAGTTCAATTCCTGAAGAAGAGAAACAAAATGCGTTGACAAAAGATATATTAGAGGAATTGTTTCCCAAATCATTGGAGCGTAATTACAATCTCGAGCTTAAAGAATACCCAAACAAATCATCATCAATGAAAACATTCAAAATTTGTCGCACCCCTTCGCCCAATGCAACTTGCATAACTATGATAAAAGCTGAAATCGGCGTACCATTCCAACACCATGTAACACTTTCGAAAACCACATGTGCTCGAAAAAAAGATTATATCGTAGTCACAGCACCAAATTACCAACAACTACCGCCGTGGCTTCATTTCAAGAAAATTGAGATGGTCATCTGGGGAATACCAACAATAGACAATAAAGGCCGCACGCACGTACAAATCTACGAGTATTGTGGCGACGAAGAGAATGGTGTCCAGTTGCCTGACGCGAAGATGGCTAGTGGATTGGGAATAAAGTGGCCAAGAGAAATCCATGAGGATGATTGGAAGTTACTTGAGGAGTTTGTTGTTGTGGTTCAAGATGAGGATGAATTGGAAGAGAATTCAGGATAAATAAAACTTATTATCGTCGCATATTTTCATAATTTAATACTGTAATAAAAAATTTATGCGCGCGTGTTACTTTTTAATAAAACGCACGTGAATTGATAGAACAGGATACTAAATAATTGGTAAATTATTTATTTAACGTTAATCATCTCAATACATAAAGTTTTCCTTGTGGTCTTGATTGTCATTATTAGAATAAATTTTTGTATCTGGTAATACGTGTAACATACATGTAGTTGAAAAAAATGCGCTTTATTAAAATTATTTACATCAATTAGAAAAAAGTATTTACGATATCATTCGGTATTAAAAATTTACATGGAGGAAAAAAAATCTACCAGCTGAAATGTACATATTAATTATTTTTGTTTCTCAATAATAAAAAATGCAAATTTTACTATACATTCAAAAACCCATTTGAATTTTATAAACTCTTTAACTTCATCAATAATCCTAACGATTTTTTCATTTTTATCTGTTTTCTTTTCAATCACCTTTACTGATGGTGATTCAACATCACTTGTTTCTGAATTTTCTTCACATGGATCCTCCTCGAATATCCATGATTGATTCCTAGGTGTTCCTGCGATACCACATAATCGTACGATATTTACCGTGCAAAACGTTCCATTATTGCCATCATAGATAGGTATTTGAATTGTCTCTGTTGTTAGTCGTCGCGAAGAATCTTTGAATGGCGTCAGAAAATAATCGTCTTGATCTTTCCAAACATTCATCGGCGTTCTTTTCCATATGAAGCTTTCTTTCTCGAATACAAGTGGGGAAGGCATTATTTCACCCGTGTACAAATCGTATCTTAACGCTAGATTATGTGTCGTGTTTATTATGTAGAAGCCATTCGAGTATCCTGGTATTGTGCATGGTATAAAAGACCATTTTTGTGGAGCATCGTTTCCTAACATCACCGTGATTTTTGAAAGATACATTGCGAGATGAGATTTTTGTGATGAATGGTGGCGTTTTTCGAATGATTGATAAAGTTCGCCAATCATGCTGGTTTTATTTTTGAAAATCTTTTACGTGATTGATTTTGCGTTTGAATTTATTATACAGATCAACTTTTACAAAAAGCTGATTTTCTGCCCTTTATATATTGAAAAAGATTCATTTTCACTATTGAACAAAGAACAAAAATGATGAGCGCTTATCATTAAGTCCACGCTACTTCTTTATTGCGTTAATTACCTTAACTTGTCATTATTCTCAGATCTACATTTATTTATTTTGATACACAAATATTTGTGTGGAAAAATGAACATTATCCTTTGGTAAAACACATGTGATGAGTCTAACTCTAATAAGTGCTTTGGATTTTTTTTTTCAGTGGATCTTAACTTCTTTTGCATTTAGAGGATACAAGAAACAAAAACAATGACAGTTTTTTGTTATTTCCCTGATACTAGCGCTAGTGTATGTTATACAAGTACAGGGTCGGGGACAATAGTGGAATTTCACGGTTTTGTGACTAAAAAGGGGGTTTTTCACTATAACGATAATGACTTAGCAACCAAAAAAAAAACTCGTTAATTCCATTCCTCCTTATAATTGTACCTGCGAAAATGAAATCAAGCAATGAAGAAATAATTTTAGTTTAAATAAAGTGCATACTGGCAGTAAATCTCTCACGCTAATGTCCCACGATTGCAGTAGTCAAAAGTTAAATGCACTATTAAATGTACAGAAACACACACACAAATACTCACGATTAAAAAAGTACTGTTCTGGTTTGTATCGAACGGTCTAGCGAGATCGACGGTCTAACGCTAATAAAAGAATGCCAAAAACGGCAAATTCGTGTGTGGCTTCCATTTCAAATCTACCAATGTTGGATATTGGTTCAGATCACAGTATTTATACAGGTACCACGATTGTGAGTGGAATCAAAAAAAATTAAACAACGACAACGAAGCTTCCTTGTTCATTACCGTTACACGATTTAAACCAGATTATTGACGAGATAAAAAAATACTTTCAAGTATAATACATCTTTTAAAAATATATGTAAATAAAATGTGCACGTAAAAAAATCAGAAAGACCACGATCATCAATTCCAACTACGAAACATTTAATTGGAAATTAAGTCATTTATTTGTGCATCCTAGAAATAAATGTATATATTATGTATTTGAATGTTTTAATAGATCGTTATACCCAATTTAAACAAACAATTTAGAGTCATCTCCTTATACTAGTCCAAAAGAACACTCCACTTCTCCATTGCCCCAGATATGCTGTTTATTTATTGTGATACACATGAAAAATGAAATCTCACGCCAATAAGTATTTTTATCTTCTCGTTCTCTTTTATCCTGACAATTGATATTCAATTGAACACAGACATACCATCCCCTTTGTCCAACTTGTTGATAATAGCGTGACTGTAATTTATACTTTAATAATTAAGATAATAAATTCGTACAGATAAAAATACAATGAATATGTTACTAAATAATTATCGGTGTCTTTATTTATTTGTTAAATACATTTGCAGCCATAATGCCATTTTCGTGTTTTTTTTCGTGTCATCCATTCATTGCGAATGGTTGTCGTTTACTTGTAACGATATAAATTAGCATAAATACAAACGCATTTAGATACACATGATCATGATGGAAATCATTATACATGCACATGTGCACATGATCATATTAATCTGTATATTTGGTCTGGCCATATCATATTAGTGTAAGAAGTTGGGAAGACGCATCTTTAGATTGTAAAATAAACACAAGTGAGAACATTCTTTAATTGAAAACATTGAGATCCAGACAATAAATCGACTAAACCGATAATGAATTCGTGGAAAAAGTATAAGCTCACCTGACCCGATTGATACACCGTCGCATGGAATTCTACTCACGTGGTGTTGTCACGGTATCACCAGTCTCGTGGAAGCATGGGATAGTAAAATAGAATGGCGTTAATGATTTAGTAATGCGTATGAATAAGGTGAAGCACCAAGAAGTCTAAGGGTGAGAGGAATGCCGACTAATAAATCAGGGGTGAGGATTCGTTAGTCCATATTGTGACTAGATTAGAGATGAATTACAATATAAAAGTAACTCGTCGCCGAGTAGAATAATTAATTTAGTAATGATTACATTCATATATTAAATATAGATTAATAACTATAATAAAGTCTTTCCTTAAAATATGTATTCCTTATCCTATTGATCTTTTCGACAGTATTCATAATCGTAGTGCCGTAACTGAAGAATATGATCATACGAAGTATGTGTTGATTGAGTGGTCCACGGTAAGACAGCAAAAGTATTAATGTTCGATATTAACGATCAAGGATTACCTTTTATGGTAGGAACTAGAGACACCAATATTGTTAGGTCAACTAGGGAACTCGACAAGAGGTCGTAGTAGACGTCAATAAAGAGCAGATCGATCGGAGGCGTTTGGATTGATGATTGAAATAATAAAATGGATTTGGTTAGTAAAAGATCTAGAATCATGGAAAGAGTACTCGAAGTACTCCCGTAATTGTACAGTCTCACGATTTATACAGTATCCGATTCACTGGGTAATAACGGATAAGCACATGTAAATAATAAAAGGTTCATAGATAGAATAAGGGTTTCAATCAAAGGTCATTCATATACATGTGCAAATATTTGATCTATTGTGGAGTTAATTTCCGAATCTTTGAACAATTTAAATTTTTAATAATCCTTATTTTGTATTTTTGAATCACCATATTTATTATCATCAGGAAACGATTGCGTAGTATTTAGTAGTATTTAAAGGGCATCTGTTTGTTTTCTGATAATTCTTTTTCCAATAGCATAATACATATACATGTACATCTTTATGTGACAATCTGACGATTTAGTCAATTTAGAACGATCATTTAAAAATGCGCTTTTTATGTCTAACAACATTTAGCTTTGTACTTCTATCCAGCAATATAGGACCCTCCCTCGAGCAAAACTTGATGAATTCGAACGAAATAAAGATCGTTTGAATAAGGATGTATATCAAAAAGCCAGAAAAGCAATAATAAAAAAGTTTCCTATAGGTAGACTAAGATGCTTTATTTAGCGCTTTGTCCTGTAAAATGTGCAAATAGAGAAAATTTCCCTGAACAAAATACAGGGCAAACACTCAGAAGAAATCTTGACAAACTCAAAACAATGCAGAAGTCGTTTGACTATCAAAAACCAGACAAGCAATCTTAAACGATTTTTCTGGTGATAGGTTAAGATAATTTTAATTCATGTTTTATCTTGTAAATGTGCAAATTGAAATAATAATATATCCTATTATCTTCTTTTCATTCAATCGATCTCATGAACGACTACAACAAAAGCTGATAAACAAAAGCCGTTCTGAAAAAAATTGTATGACAAAGCATGTCAGCACGGTATTTCCTTCACCTGAGACTTGCTTTCCCTATACTTTCCAGCTTAGGTGTGATTTTACGACTGGTTACTAACATAGTATCATTTTTAAGCGAATCAATTCAATTTATAGGAAATGTTTAATATTATTATTATTTGTGAAGTGTGTCATTTGAATTTTGTCTAGAATAATATTATATACTATAACTCTAATTATATTTTTTATTGTCATGTAATCATTTTATATTTAGAAAAATTATCTGCATGTATTGTTAATTCAAGGGAGTTTTATTTTTTATAGAAGGATGCCAGTTATTCTTTTACAATACAGTGGTACACTAAGGAGGAGAATAGGATTTTTTTGTTTTTAGTTGAATCAATAGTGTATGAGAAAAAGATGCGAATAAGAATAGCAACTATAACAAATTGGGTATCGGGATAATAAGCAATGCTTTTGCAAAACAGTTACTTAAATTTTCGTAAAACAGTTATTAAAATTTTCGTAAAGTTAATAAAATTTAATTGAGAAATTGATTCCTAGAAGATTATAATTCATTTTTGATATGAAGAAAAAAAGAGTGAGTTTAATATATTTTGTTAATGACAAACAGAAATATTTTTAAACTCAATATCAATATTAACAAAATTTGCATTGAAACTTACTCTTAATGGAAGAAATTCAGTCACTGACATTTCGCAAATTACAAAATTTTTAGCATATGCGTTGATCTGATTCGTATAATTGTGCTATCATTTGTTTTATCTTGGCTAGACAGTGGTAAAATCAAGTGAATTGAATCATTAGACACTGAGATTCACGTTCTAAATAAACGGATTAATTTTTAGATGATCATGCATGCATCCAAATTGATCGGTTACTTTGGGACGTAATATCTCAGCATCCAGTGATCCAAAACATATCATCATTTGATTTATCTTGACTTAATGGATTAAATGTTATAAAAATCGCATGTATTGAACTACTGGATACTGAAATGTTGCATTCCAAATAATTGATTGATTTTATGATGATGATTTCCAAGTTGGCAATTAATCACTAATTAATTTAATTGGACATCTTGAATCACAAAATCCTGAATATTTATAAGCCCAAAAGTTTGAAATCTCGAATGATCACCATTCCAAATCAAATGAATAACATCCAAAAAGATTGAATTTCTTAAAGATCAAAAATCCTGAATGAATAATATCCTGAAAAGAATGATATTCTGAATAAATGACTTCTGAATTATGAATTATGAAATTCTGAAAGTATAATATATATATATATATATATATCATGAAATATTAAAATTATCATGAAATATTGTTCATGCAAAATTTTGTACATTCAAAATATTGTTCATTCAGATGTTGTTCATTTGAAATTTGTGATTTTGGATGTTATTCATTCAGAAATTTGTGTTTTGAACTGTCATTTATTCAGGATTTCAATTTTTTTGAATTTTGATTATTTGGAGTGTTATTCATTTAGAATTTTGATCTTACAGGCTTTTAATCTTTCATGATTTTATAGCTCAGAATTTTGTACCAGATCCAATTTGATAATTATCATTAAAAATTAACAATAAGATAGAAATGTTGACAATAAATTGTTAACAACTTTCAAAGTCTAATATTA